TGTTCCCGAGTGGAAATTTCGGGGATGTTAGTTGCATCGCACAAATATCTCCAATATTTTTTCCAGACCAAATATTGAATGTTAGGACTCGCATGAGTCATTATGCACGTTTGGTGATATTCTTTGGGTTTGCACTCGTCTAGATTTCTAAAATATATCAAAGTCACCCTGGAAACCGGAAAAAAATTACCGCGTTTAGTGTTAATTGCAAGCTGCTTTGTCAAACAATTCTTTTCGCAGAACGTGATGCTTCAAGTAGATTTGGAGTTCTGGCACAAGTTGCTGAGGAAATTAGAGGAAAAGGAACGATAGCATATATAAATTGTGGGTATGTTGTATTTAAATGATCTAGACAGCTGAAGATAAAAGCAACGAACACCTGCAGTAATTATCATAAATCACTCTTACTCATATTGTCACTGTTGTAAAAAAATAATGATATTTAAATTGTCAAGTTGATACATTTCTTATATTTTTAATATATGCATTGTATTCCAATCTTAATACGTTTTTCTCCTTCTTGTATAGTAGATGAAACTTTAGTGCACTAACCTCCACGTTCATGGGTGCAAGTTTGAGAAACAAAACCTGGGTGCAGAGAAAATAGCTACTCTAGGTTGTGCTGCCTTGAGGGAAAATGGGGCTATTATCTTATAGCCCAAAGGCCTTTCTTGGATATACAAGTCCAAAACCTAGCATAGAAAGCCTTTATCCTCTCTAAAAGAGAATCTGGATCTGAGAAATTATGTCTAGATTACTGCCCAGATATCCAAACTATTTTGTGTACTTAGCTGTGGACTAGGGGAAGCCTGGGTCCAGCAACCTTCCCTTCTACCCCAACCTCCTCAACCCGCCCCCCTCCCTCCCCCAATTTAAGTAAGGGTGGTCTTATCTTCTCTCTTTTGCCTTCCAGCACCTTTAGATCTTCTACTGTTTCCAAAACTTGTCTAGAGAACTTACAATTTGTTTTGTATGTCTTCATAGGGAAAGCAAAGATACCAAAAAATTATGCAAGAAGCTTAAAGTTTCACCACAACCTGTTGTGCTTAAGCATTACAAGTAAGTTTAAACCTTAGGTAATGCTAACCTACATGTACCTGTGCAAACTTTTGCAGATAATTGCTGCACTTTCAATTGGTTGTTAGTTTCATTAAAAATCCTTATACCTATACTTATAAAAAGGAAAAAAATAGCTGAAAAGAATGAAGTAACTAGGAATATTTCCATCTTTCACAAGTTATGTCACTTGTGCATACCTCTGAGTTGAGATTCAATGTGAGAGTCAAATCTAATAGACAGATAGCAGTACGTTTATTTTACAGTTTTGTTTTATCAATAGTAAGCATTTCCAAAAGAGCCTACTTGCTCCTCTTCCCCACATATTCTTTATATCACCCATATACCCTCTACTCCTACTATCATGTTACCATCAGTACATTCCTGAGCACCTTCCAATCTTTCAAACTGACCACACCACCCCCCTCTCACAAAATAAATTATTATGTCTTCCCTACACATCCTAGCTACCCTTTTGATGAAGATCTTTTTTCTATTCTCCCTTCTCATTTTTTCCCTTACCTTGTACTAACCCTAGTTACCTTGTTCTCCCCCCCCCTTCCCCCCGATACACCTAACCCTCGCTGTACTTTAAAGATTCCAGGAGATCTAAATCTTAGTCATTCTTTTCAATTTGGCAGAGATGGGAACTTCAATAAAGATTATGATAGAAAGAATACAGTTAAGGTATACTAAGTGTTTTATCCTGCGATAGTGACACTGTTGTCGATGTAGTGTTTAAGTTTATCTAGGGCTGGGCAATGTGATACAGGTATCTCTGAGAACAAGAAGTCTAATATTGTATATACAGTCTGTGTAAAAGTTTGGTTATTAAAACTGTATAGATTTGCTGTCGTAC